CTATGGGTCGTGAATCTCTTAACGCTTCCGTGGCCAAGTCGAAAGGTGTTCGACTACTGTTGCCATCATTACTACTTTCACCACCCGTGTTGGTAGAGAATTCGAATTTACTGTTTATCATCGTTGAGCGGCCGCTTGATGCTAGCTTTGCTGGAGTCTGGTTTGTGCACGATTGCGGAGCAGGTTTAAAACAAGATTTATTATGCTGAGCTGTTGCAGTTACTGTGGCATATGTGCCGAAATTACCGCCTGTAGTACTGTTGCCGGCAGGCTGTTTGGTTGAAAGCAATTGTTGCTGGTCCTGCACGCTATGGCGATGGTGGTGGTGCTGATGTGGATGATAACTCGGTGTCGAGTGTTGCAGTTGCTGCTGTTTCTGTGATTGATGAAGATGTTGATTTGCCGTCACAGTAGTTGCAGGTGGATGAGGCCTTGAAGATCTCCGTGTACTGTGTTGACTACTTAATTTTTTGTTGATGCGTGTACGTTTCGTCATTTCGTTTTGATAAGCATGACTAGCACTGTCGCTAATAGCTGTCGAAGAAGGCAACAGCTGGTTACGGTGACTTACTACTGTTATTGTCGTTTAAGCGTTGTTGAGCTGAATCTGCTGCTGTTGTTGACGACGATTACGTAAAGGTGACGTTGACGAGGTGATTTCAATAGATCCGCTGAACTTTTCGCGTGTGTTGAGTGGAAATGTTTCCTTGCCTTCACCTAGAGAGTTTTGCTTTACATCAGTCAGTTGAAGTGATGAGTTTCGGTAGCTCTTGGGGTTATCGTTTCCTTGGCTTATAGCGTCTACTTGGCATTTACTCGGAGAATTAATAGTGTCTGCTTTGGTGGCGACAGATAAGCCAAAAGCTTTCCAGAAGTCGATGCCGAAATAAAATTGATGCTGCAACTCTGCTACTATGTAGAATTCGATACTCTTAGTCTCGCCCTCCCACTCGACGGGTAAGGTAATGAGTCCCGTTACTGATGTCTTCTTTCCGTCTGCTGTTTTGACGTGTTGATTCCGTAGCTTAATGACTTGGTGCCTTCGATTCTCAAAGAATCTTGTTGCTCCGGCCCCACAACAACTAACGCCGGCTCCTGTGTCCAGAAGAGTGGTTACTTCGGTGTTGTCGACCTTGGTCCGAGCGAACATCCTGTCATCGTGCTCTAGGGAAACAATCGCTGAGATCCCCTTCTGTCGAAACCTCCTGTATGCCCTTCTCCTTTGGCGTAAGATCAGAATCTCTCTATGTTTTCTCGTGAGCGCTCGCCTTCTAAAAATCTCTGCGCTAAATATCTCGTGTCGCTTCTGCTGGTAGTCCGCGATCCTCTGTGCTAAGCTTCTGTACTCGGTGATGTCTTGATCCGTTGCTGGTGTTATCGTTGCGCCTGTTGCTGCTCGCGTTAATATTGTCACTGCTGTGATTGGTGTTGCTTTTGTGGTTATTGTTGGTGTTGTTATTGCTATTGTTGTTGATGTTGTTGTCATTGTTGTTGCTGCTGTTATTGTTGCTGCTGATGTTGTTGTTGCTGTTATTGTTGCTGCTGATGTTGTTGTTGCTGTTATTGCTGCTGTTCCGGGTGACGTCTCGTCTGGCAGGGGTTCCCGGCTTGCCTCGCCAGCCTGGTGTTTTCCGATGCGGGTAAAGCGCCGTAGCTCTCATTTTTGCCGCATGCGAAACAGACCATGTTGTGGAAGGGACACCTGCAGCGATTTTCTCGGGTGCCTTCCGCTGGATTTTTTAGAAAATAATCTCCCGGCATCCCGCACACATAGCATATCATCAGATGGAACGGTGACTGGCAGAAAGCGATGCTCTGCGCTGTCCTCCCTGGTGCTGGTGTGGTGGTACGGTGCTGGGGTGTTACTACTGCTGCTGTTGCCTCTTGCTTCGGCTGGCGTGCACGTGATGTTGCTGGTTGCATGTGGTGCCGCTCGTTCGGAGGCTTACTTGCATTGCCTGTGCTAACCCATCTTTTGTCGTATTTCACAGCCCCGCCGTTTCCGCGTTGCCTGTCGCTGCTTGGGCTATGCCGCGGCGCTAGGGCTTCAACTGCTTCGCGATGCACTCCGTCACCATTTTCACCTTCCTGTAGGATCTCGCTTACGTGTTTCGGCCTGCTTCTACTTTCTCTCAACAGCTTTTCTGCTCTCTTGCATTCGGATTTGAACTCGCCAATGCTTTCTACTTTGGTGGCGAAAATCAGTGCGGCCAGACTGCGCTTAACGTTGGACTTCATTATTTTGATCATTTCTGCCTCAGGGATCTTTCTGCGTAGGCGGAATGTTAGGTCGTGTATCTCCGCGTAATAGTCCTCGAAGGTCTCGGCGTTCTGCTGCTTCCGCTCCATGATTTCTCTAATCAATTCGTAATCAGAGTCTGCGGTCTTGAATTGATTGAGGAGCTCAGCTTTTAGCGCGAAATAATCAAAAGTGACGTCTCCTTCTCTATCCTCCAGCAGCTGCCAATACCATTTGCTGGCTTGACCGGTCACTAGACAGTGAAACTCGGCAAATAATTCCTCATGGCTTATCTGGTGCTGCTGCCTGAGCCGTTCCACTCGGAACACAAAGCTTTCGACCGTAAGACCCTTACCAGAGCCGTCGAATTTAACGTGCCAGCGATTGAGGTCTATGTTCCGTCTCCGGGCGTTTTCATCACTGGTACGCTGTTGTCCTGTCTGCTGGTCGTGGTGGTGACTGCCGCTAGGCTGCGCTACTGACTGGGGTGGTATTTGCTGTTGTGGTGTTGAAGTCGATGCTGCCATTAGAAAATTTTGCGTCCCTTCGCTGTCTCGTAATTGGGTTCGCTGCGTTGCTGCGGACTTCTCTTGCTTTAGGTGGCTTATTTCTTGGATACAGCTTAGGAGCATTTCGTGTTGTTGCTTTAGCATGCTTGCTAGGTCTAGTTCCGAGCTAGCTGTTTCTCCTGCTGGGCCTGGCTGGCGGTGACCGCTGCGACCATCACCTGCGATGTTGCCACTGGCGTTGTGAGTGATGTCTGTAGTTTCGTTGTCTGACATTTTGAAAAGGTGGTTCAGCTTTCTGCTGAGGCTGTTAAAAAGTGATACTGCACTGCTATCTGCAGGATACTCTACCGTGGTGTAGTTTCCTCCGAGCTGGTATCGCTGGAATACTGGATCCAATCGGGTCGCCAGGGACTCGTCTACCGTTTGCGAAGCGTGGGCTGGATTGAAGCTTGGGTTCATACCAGGTTAGACCCCCCGATTGCTACGTTTTCCGCCCTACTGCTATCGTACAACAGGTAAAAGCGTAAATCTTTGCAAAACTCCCCGAAGACAATACCCTAGAACCGCTAGGACTAGGCGAAAAAAATTCGAAGAAAAACTACCAATTTACCCCCCCTTTCTTAAACCAACAATCCGATCTCGTAGTCGTAACTTAGTACAAACGAGAAAAAAGAAACAGAAGCAGAACAATCAATAGAAACAAAGAAGCAATTAATGTGGCAAAACTGACCACCAAGACAAGAAAGAATCAAAACAAGCAAAGCGCTTACAGCATTCGTTGTTAGAAATTTTCTGTATGCTTATTCTATTGTGAAAATGTTTCTTTCTTTTCTTTATATCTTTTCGTTTACAATCAATGCTTAAGAAAATTTCTTTCCTTTTTTTTTTTTTTTTTGTCTTTACATGTATATGAGTGACTTGGTGTAAATTTATATACTAAAAGAATATTACTTATAAAATAGTGGTTATAAATAAATATATTAATAACAAAGGTTATAAATAAAGAAAAGCCTCTGGGGACTTGTTATTTTTTCTTTTTCCTGACTCCCGTGCTGTAGCTGAAGCACGGCGTGGGTGTGCACATGAGGTCCCGTTTCACCCCCGATTACTTTGCATGGACCCCACAACAATTGACTTCTCTTCCCTCCTGAACAGTCGACCCCTATCGTGTTTTACATGCACGATTTGGTGGGCGTACCGCTCAAGA